TGAAAGTGCCGACAGTCACGATGAGCTTATTTGAAGTTTTGAAAGCTGAAAGTTGGGCAGCCTCGAAGATGGTGATGTTCATTGCTTTCGAAGCTTGGGCTTGGTTTCCGCGTGGGCTTAAACATTGGTTGTTCTGTTGTTAAGAGGATATTCGTGCGTTTCTTAGAGTTGTTAGTTTGGTTTTGGGTAGCTCTTGGCTTTTGTTTTTGTTTGTTGCTCGTTTGTCGGTTGTCTGACATTCATTTGCGGGTGGTGTGTTGCTTGTTGTTGGTACGCTTGATCTTGGGTTTTGTTCACCTTCGCTTGTTCTTCGTTTCTTGTTCGTTTGTTTTTCGTTTGATGTTTGTATCTTGCTCGTTTCATGTTCGTTTGTTGTTTGTGTACCTGCAAATTTAGCTAACTGTTTGTTTGTCTTCTTTTTTCGTGTGCTCTTCTCGGTCGTTCTTATTTATTTAGTCGTTTGTTTTTTGTTCTCAATATGTGTTGTGTGTGTATCTTTTTTGTTCTGTAGTTCGTGGGTTGTTCGTGCATTGTTCCTTTGTTGTTCGTTCGAGATATGTTTATGTTTCGCTGGTGGTGTGTTTATTGTTGCGGCCCTGGTTGTGGTTATTGGTTTTTGGTTGGTTTGGTTGGTTTGGTTGGTTTGGTTGGTTTGGTTGGTTTGGTTGGTTTGGTTGGTTTGGTTGGTTTGGTTGGTGGTTGGTGGTCGGTGGCTGTTGGTTGTTTTTCCTTTTTATTATTTTGTTAAGTTGCTGGCTTGCTTGGTTTCGTTTTTCCTTGATGTTTTTCGCTTGTCCTTTGTTGTTTGTTGCTGGTAAAGCAAGGACTGGAGCCCCTTCGTCCGTTTGTTTCAAGAAAAGAGGCACGGGGCGTGCCCCGACGGGGCGGGTTGCTGCAAGGGGGGGGGGGGGGGGGGGGGGGGGCGGGTGATGGGGCAAAACAACAGACGGGGCTCGAGATTTACTTTCTTCTACTCGGAGAAGAAGCGGTCGGTTGTTTTTGGGTTTTTTGGGGGGAGGGGGGGGTGGGGGGTGGGGGGTACACGACAGCAGATGGGGCACCAGAATTGCTTTTTCTGCTGGCAGTAGAAGCAAGAACCTCCAGAGCGTCAGAACGGACAGACGAAGCAACGACCTCATCATTCCAGAGAGGAGTGTGCTCACAACAACCAGATTGTAACCAGATGTGATCTGGATTTGTTTCTCTACGCGAGAACAAGCATACCGATGTGAACTTTCGCTGGGCACGTTTCTTCCCTTGCAGCTGAGCCAAGCGTATGCCTGGGCTTGGAACGATTTCGAGACATCCTCTTTCTAGTGTTTCCTTAGAGCCGAAAGCAATGTAGCCTCGGGGTTTTGATTTAGGAGAAGTGTTGTTTCTCATGTCTTGTGGGTTTGTACAGGTCCTAGAGGAAGGGAGGGCCAGAGGAAGGAAGAACGTTGACATCACCGGACACCGAGCATCAGTAGAAATGAGGCAGACTTTTGCTGATTAATCATCGCCGTTAACGCCTGCGCAGACGATAGTTGGATTGGGTGTGGTTCAGCAGCTTCCTTTCATGCGGCGCTACTGATGTGAAAGTGCACCGCAAGGGGAGAACCGTCACAGCGCAACCCGTTGACTCCTGAGATGCAACTGGAGTGCAACAGATACGTCGGCTAAAGCACAGCCCTGGACAAGAATTCAGAGCCCCAACACCTGGTTCTGTAGCAGGGTACAGAAGCGCACTGCTTTTCTTAGCAGCAGAGTCCGTGAGTAGGGCTTGTGCTTGTCGATTGGAGGCGATCGTGGACATGGCGGGAGCATGTTCCGCACTCGTGGCCGGCTGATGCATTGACTTGCATGCAGAGCAGTAGTAAGATGGCGAAGTGAATGCAATTTTGCTCATGGTTAGTGAGCGGAACCCTCACGCAGTACGCAGTGTGTCTTCAGTAGGGCTTGAGATGTGTGCCGAGAGTCCGAGAGTACTGCAGATTTGCACTAGCAAGCTCAGAAGTCCCGCGAGGCTCTGTGGAACAAAGCGGAGATGACGCCTGACAGCCTTCTGCAAATGGCGCCGAATCTTGGCACTACTGCAACTGTCACTTTCATGTTTTGCAGTCGCCATTCTGCGACGTGTAATCTCTTGCAAAGCCAAGCTGCGATTCCAACCGAGTTATTGCTCTGTTCTTGCAGTTTCCTTTGCTGCAAACACCGTGCTCACTCACTTGCTCTTTGTACCCTTCTTGTGGAGAAAGCTGGACTTGTTATGGTCGTTTGTTTCGTTGTTGTCTTACTTACTTAGTCAGCCGGTGATGCCGGTGCAACAGGTGGATTAACGGTGGCGCTGAGGCTTTTGATCCTGGTTAGCCTCGCGGCCGGGCAGGCCTTTCGTGCCAACACGGCCCCCGAGACTCTGAGAATCCATTCTCCGTAAAGGATTGACAACCTTTCCAGGTCAGCTCAGGGTGTTGGATATGCTTTCCTTTGAGTAGAGCGCAACGGCAATTGTGCACGGCCAAAAGGGGGAGCTGACCTGATGCTTGATTTCAAGCGTAGCGAGCGCGGGTTTTTGCAGCCATGGCGCGTCTAAGAACATCCACGGCTTCCATGTGCGCAAAATATTTCAGGGTCCTTGCATTGCTTCCAAGTTTTCTGCTTTGACATACGGAGTGGCCCTGTGAAGTGGCCAGCTTCTGCTTTCCACCCCGAGGGAGGCTTGGCAAAAATGAAAGTTGCAGGGATTTGTAGGGTGAAGTGCACGTAGTGCCAGATTTGGGGCCGGAAGCATGGATTGGCTTCTTCGCTCGTCATTGAGTGAGGGTCCAAAGCATATGATCCGTTTTGCCAGCACTGTGCGGGCATTTCTGCCCGCGTTTTTTCGTCGCAGATGCGCTGCGAATGTTGTGGGCATGACCTTGCTGACACCACGCCCGAGTTTCAGCAAGGCATTCTGGAGAATCTCCAGGTTTCCCCACACGCACCGGCTTTGCTTAGTCTGCGGCCGTGGCCTTGTTGAAACCTTACACCAAGGTACTTTGCAGAATGTCCAAGTTTCGCCACACGTGCCGGCTTTGCTTAGTCTGTGGCCGTGACCTTCTTGAAGCTCCACACCAGAGTTTCAGCAAGGTACTTTTGGAGAATGTCCAGGTTTCCCACACGCGCCGGCTTTGCTGAGTCTGCGGCCGTGGCTTGTTGAAACTTTACACCAGAGTTTCAGCAAGGTACTTTTGGAGAGTCCGGGTTTCCCTATACTCACCGGCTCTGTGCCAGACCTGGGACAAGACGTGGGACAAGACGCCGGAACAGGTGCAGGCTCCCACAACAGTCCAGGACTTTTGTGAAGGTAGGACCAATAGCATCCTTTGCTCTAGCGGCGCGAAGGTGGTCGGCTCAAAGTGGGTGATGGGATGGGTACCCTCTGTTTTTCTGAGAAGCCTGAAGGCCCTAGCCTAAACAGGCTAGTACTTCAGGTCGCCAGGAAGGCGAGTCCAGCGCCGAGGCGTGGTGTTGGAACGTGCTCCAACATTCGCGTTCTTCACTGTCCTGTAACCATCTGAAGAGTTATCTAACGAGTTTTTTTGGCCGAGACTTGCAAGTCGAAGGCCTCATAGCCTGCACGTTGTTGGTACTGTGCGCTGGCTGATGTTTGTGAATTCGTTTGACGAGGCTTTGATGAAGCGTCACGGAATGCCGCTTCAGCGACCTCAAATTAGAGCCGCATACAAGATCCATGGTTTATTCAGAGCCGAGCTGCCTCCAAGGCAGAACGCCGGTGTACGCCGAAACCGTGGTTCATCTGCAGATGCGGTTGTTTGTAAAGACTGTGCGGCAGAGAGTGTCCAGGAACCGAGCCAGCATTCAGGATGCTTCTTTCCCTACAGGATTTTCCTCACTTTGCAGATGGCGACACACACTTTGCCGTGCACCCCCTGTGCAACTTGGGAAGCACACCATGTCAGGCGTTTCTGATGAATGCCGACATTCCTGATTGGAGCGCATTTGCATCGGTGTTTCCGGTCGAAGGATTCACCGCATAGCGTGTTTTCTACGAGCTGCTAGTTGTCGGCTAGTTGTGGGGCGAGCCACATGACACGCAGTGCAGGTGTTTGGTTGTGCTGGTCGGAGAGTTGTATGCAACAACTTGTGGCATGCCCAGTAGTGAAAGTCTTGAGGGCTTCGAAGCCGCGTCAATCTTGACTATGTCTATGTGAGATCCAGAAGGCCTGGGCACAACTGCTTGTCAGGAAAGCAGCATGACTTGCATCGCCGGCACTACTGATTCTTGGAGGGCCGACCAAAAGAGCCTCACAAGTGTGATCCATTGGGTTTACGAAAATAGGGGCCCTTTTTTGGGTTCCTACAAAATGGACTATACTATTTTGGGGTGGATTAAGGGGACCCGCCATATTTTTTGGAGATGCCCATATGCTAGCTACGAGGCATGCGGGCTTCAAACTGCCAAGCTCTCCACAAGCTGCCTGCCCAGTTCTTCATTTTGGCCACATGCACCGATCTGAATCACTCCAGTGATAGTCGTACAAGGTTCCAGTGGCACCTGTCATTCATGTGGGGATCTAGATGCTGGATAGTGCCATTGGCGAAGGCGAAGCGTCACCTTTGCTGACCGATAACCTTGTACGGCTTTCACTAGAGCAGAGAAGCATTCAGTGACATGCGAGGCTCCATGTCAGCCAAATGTCTGTGACCCTAGCAGGCCCCGGCAGCCCACCTGCCAGCTACTGATTGGTCCACGCAACGATCGCAACAGTTGGTGGGCATGGAGCTGTGAGCTATGGTGCAAACTTGCAAACTCACCATGTGCCACACCACGCCTAAAAGACTTATCCGCCTTATGCCGCACGCCTGAATGAAGCCTAGCTGGCCGTCATGACTTTACTGCCCGACTTCCCTAGAGCACACTGATTCATTTGCAGCTGCGACACACAAGTTTGTCCGTGAGCATGCTTCCGTGCGCATGCTTCCGAAGATCTTGGCCCTGTCGACATCCCTTTGTCCAGGCTTGCGCGGGCAATTCCACACAGGGGTGTCCTGAGCGGTCCATGGTTCGAGAGCCAGAAGGACAGGTACCCGCTTTGCTTCGTTTTTGCTGAACCTGAACCACTCAGCTCCAGGCATCTCAGGGCATCTCTTTGGAAGCCGCACAGTCCACCGGCATTGCTCCAGGCAAGATGCTGCCGAAGAGGGGTGTCATGTATTTTGGCTCGGACAGCAGGTCTTGCTGAGGCTTCGTGATTGGAGTTGTTCGTTTCGTCTCGGCCCCACCGTTCCTTTCTTCATGTATTGAAGGCAGAGTGTTTTAAATCATGGGTCAGGGCAGCAGCCCCGTTTTCTACCTCAGCTGGGGTGTTGTGTTTGACATTGTGCGGCTGTCACGGCGCATCGTGGCGCACATGTCGGATCATCTTGGACCTCGTCGTCAGGACAAGTTGCTGCGAAGTGCTTGAGGGGACACATTTGTCAGCCTCGTGGGTTGTTGGGTTCATTCTACAGGGGTTCTCCCGCGGAACTGTCGCACCTGGGTCATTGTAGTCCATGTCTTGCTTCAAAGACGACATTTTTCTAGTACAAGCGTGCTCCGGCGGCGTGCGTGGCCTGAGAAAGAAGCGCAAAGAACAGATGTAGCAACGTAGTACAAGCGTAGCACGAGGGCAGTCGATGTTGAAGTACATGCGCCGTGTGCACAGAAGACATCCGGATCTTTGGTGGCTTGCAAGATCGACCTTTGTGGCAAGCTGGCACAGCGATTGCGGAGGAACTTGAGAACAAACTTGGGAACTGCTGTGTCGTGCTCTCACTTGGTAGTCTTGCAGAGGTCTTCCACCGTTTGGGGTCGAAGGCAGTTTGCGATTTTGGGAGCACGAGGGATTTTTTTTTTGGTCGCGGGTCGTTTATGGCTCGCATGCACATGCACAGAAAAAGTGTTGAAGCGTGTAGTGTACTTGTGTTGATTTGCTCCGTTACCCCGGTTCCTCTGCCCTTGCCTTGCTCGCCATTCCTGCTTGCTGCGTGGACCCTTCGAATCAGGGATTCGCGATCTGGAGCTAGTGCGCCTGGGGTATATATGCTTGGAACTTTTCGCGAGCCGCTGCGCAGTTGTCCCAGAAAGGTGCGCTGCGGCATCCCTTCCAAGCTGCCGCGAAGCCTGCTTGCAGTCATTTCCTGATTAAAACATGTGGGCGAGGCAGTTGTGGAGAGTCGGGTTAGTAGGCTGTGCGGCATAGCTCTGGCGTTGGGCAGGGAGTCCTGACATTATCGCTTGAACAGATGACCTGCGCAAGGACAGGCGGGCCAACAGTGCAAAAGGAGTACACACAGCCAGCTCGAGGCCGACTTATCTGCATGAGTTGCATAGTCAGACGATCTTCCTAAGTGCTTACATTGCATATTGCATATGCTGGACAGCCGGGGCTACGTCCAGGTTTGTCACCAGTGCCAGTGCGATTTCGCAGCATGGTGGTGCCAGCGGCAGGCCCCCATTTGTAGTTCAAGGCTCTTCTGAATGCTTCAACTGTTTTTGTTTTCCATTTGTCGGCAATGTCTGGGGAGTTGCTGGACTGTGGGGGTCATAGTGGCGCACTGTGAGCTGCGAGTTCTGCATGCCCTCAAGCCAGTCCTGCAGGAAGTGCGAGCTGCCATGGACAAGCCAATGTGGCTGGAGACAGGAGCCACGCCTACGTAGACCATCACGGAAGCTAGCTCTTTGCAGAGCTCTTGGCAGCTTGTGGGAGTTTTGTTTACAAACTCCTTATTCTCGTGTGGAGTCAAATCGACTTTAGGCGACTTTCTTTGATTCAAGGTCATGCGGCGGGCGGGTGGGAAGGGGGGGGTCCCTATTTCCTGATAAAGTCAGGATATCATCGTACGTGGGCTCTTTGGGCCCGCTTTGGCAGCTGCAATTCTGGAGCACCGGCTTTCGTCCACTGATTTCAAGTGCCATGTAGGTTGATGGGTGCGCCAGGCCATACAGACAAACTTTCGTGCGCGAGCGTTGTTTTGTAGTGCACCATCAGGCGGAATTGTTTTCGCAACGCTGAGGGAGCTTTCCGATGTGGTACCCTCTTCTCCACCGTACCTGCGTGTCAGTGACTGGCCTCCCTGTTCCAAAGGAGCCATCTGAGGCAGCCTGCCACACCTCGGACTGACACTCGTGAGGTGGCTGCTCCTGGCCGGAGCCCAGGGAAGATGAAGCAATATGAAGATCATAGGCCATGAATGCCGGAGGGTTCCCCACACCGTCTTGAGCGTTTGCGTGGTCTTGTGGCCCCTGCTTAACATCGACCCGAGCCTTTGACGCACTGCCCACCCTGGAACAGTTCTTTGGGACACTTACATACTTTGACATGGGCAATCTTTGAACGTTTCTTTCGGAAGTGATATTCTGATGTATTATGTAGAGGGTGTTTTTGTTGTTGTTTTTTTGTTTTTGCTTATAACAAAATCGCAATAAATGACCCTCTCAGTGTTTCTTGTGGGTTCGGACGCCGCTTCTCTACTTGCAACACAGTGCAGCCGGAAATCCAAACAGCCTTCGCTCCCGAGCCGCATCCTAGAGCAGATCCGTTCAGCTCTGTGGAATAGTGCCATTGCCGATGTGCTTTACATTAGAGTACGGTGGAGTTCAGGTATCGGCTTGAGGTGAGCCGTTGTCATCAATCAATTGCTAAACATCAAAACAAGCAGACTCACCTGATAGACATCAAAACTGATGAAGGAAATGAGTGAGCAGTGAGTGAGTGAGTGAGTAAGGGACTAGCTGCAGGCGGTGGAATGTGCAGGAAGCTGGGAAAGGCAGGAAGCCTTGCCTACGGCGCCGATCCCTCCGGCTTCTCAGCGTCATTGCCCCCTCCACTTGGAGTTCACCCTGGCGAACGCCCCATCCCAGGAAACAACGTTCACATGGCCTGCTGAAGCAAGAGGGCATGCTTGCATACGCAAAGAACCTCACCTGGTGAGGCCGGCCACCGGCAAAGCCGGCAGAATGCCATTCCCGCAGAAGTTCTTGCGACAAGGGCTCTTCCCCCGAAAGTCTCCAACGGAATTCTATGCCGTGCAAAGCAACGTCCATTCCAGGTGCATACAGCTTTAAATGGTGCCTATAACACCAGGGGCACGACAAGCAAAAACCAACCTAAACCCAAGAAAGCCCCACCGAAACCTAACAAACCAAAGCAAACACCTTAGGTGTCCCTGCATGGGGGGTGTGGACAGACTGTGCATGGGAAAGTGTATGTTGCAGCACTGAAATCGCAGGGCTGAGCATTTCTTCACCATGGTTCGATGTCGCAACATGGCAATACATGCAGTGCACCCGTCCAACTTGCAAGAATCGCGGCCGGTCCTATGGCAATTCCCGTTCTTGCGAACGACCACTCCTACGCAAGTTCCAACAAATTCTACGCACATTTTCAACAAATGCAAACATCCCAAACAATCCTTCTCACAAATCCCAGCATTTGCCACTTTCCGGCCGGGCTGCCGAACATCCCAACCATTCCTCGGAAAATCCTGACAAATCCTCAACAATCCCAACATTTCCCAATCAATCCCGACAATCCCCACCCTTTTCCGCTTGATTCCCAACTAGTCCCAGAAGAGTCCAAAGGTACTCATCAACATCCCGATTCCCGGTTTAGGTTTAGGGCAGGGCTGGCAGGAAAAAATGTAGGAACAACTCAGGTTTTCGAGAAGCATTGTTTACAGCAGCACGCACCTAGAGAACCTGACAGGGAGCAGGGCAAGATGTCCATGCATCCCCCCCACAAGCAGCCACAATGACAATATGCCCTCGGACTGAAAGGAGGCGAAGGCTGAAGCTGCGACCAAGACCCGGCTAGTACGAGTTTTTCAAGAAAGGGGGGGGGTGGGGTGGGGTTCGGGCCTTCATTTGCAAGCGAACTGCTCGCATGATCATGCGGTCGTTTGGTTTTGAAGGAATGTGTGCTGATGACGTGACGTCTGTTGTTATTGTTCATTATCTGTACACACACACATATATATATATATACATATACATATACATACACATATACATATAACATTTTCATTAGTGCATTTATTCATATGCATATTTCTTTTAACATGTTCGTATTTGCTTTTTATCTATCTATGTTTTTGTGGCACATATCGTGCGTATGACGTATTATCACGAACCCCTCAGAGTCGCAAAGCAAATGATAGTTTCGAGCACCCCAGAACACAGCCCTGGCTGGTCTGGGCAGGTGGCAAGACACACACTTGCTTTGTGCAAGTGAGCATCGGCACTGCAAGTGTCAACTTTGACAACAGAAAAAGGAAGTTGTCATAGCCGGTACACTAGACGAGTACACCTTATTTATGCTAGCCTGAGGCCTGGCGCCGTTTCCCGCAGCGGATCACATGATGCCCGTGGTTGTCAGGCCTCAGAGCTGTGAAGGAAGTGCTGACGCAATTCCATTGAGGATTGTTCGTATAAGGGGGCAACATCCCAACTGAAGCTTGTGGAACAGGGGCCGAGTTGCACATGTGCCTGTCAAGAGCTGCAGCTGCACCGCACTAATGCAAACGCGTGATGAGTCACCCGGGCCTTGCAACCTCACACTTTCTTGAAGCTTCGAGGAAGCCAAGAATCCGTGCCAAGCAAAGGCAAAGGATTTGAATTAAGAGTTCTTACAGAGTCCGGCCACCCAAGTTCTGAAAGGGGGTCTTCTTTCAGGGGCCGAACATGCAATTAATCCGTTCCCCCTCCTATTAAACCCCTACACACCCCAAAACCCCAAAAGGCTTTGGCTTTTAGTATTGGGGGGGGGGGTGGGGGGTTCCTATCGTTTGTCCGAATACACAGCCCGTCCTTCGAGCTTGCTGGCTCAGTCATATTCCAACTCTAAACCTTAACCTTTAAACTCTTGAATCTTCAGAGTTTCGGGCTTTCAGAGTCAGCGCAAGGGGAGGTTCTGATTCAGGCTTCCACCCCCCCCAAACCCCATTCGGCAGAGGTTTTTGAAAGGGGCGGCTACTGGATCGGGCTTTCGGGCCAGGCATTTTGATTAGGGGGGGATTAAGATGCAGATAAATATTGGCCGGAAGGGATGAAAGGGGGTCTTCTTTCCCGGGCCGAACATGTAATTAACCAATTTTAACCGTGCAGCTAAGTGACACCTGAAGTGTGCCATTCCGCCGAGAACCTCGCTCTCGTTCTTTTCGCAGGCCGGCGTGTGCGGGGCCAACGAGGCCAGAGTCCAGACAGTGTTGCTCGGGGGGCAGGTTGCAGTTCGAGAGCCTAAGTTTAATCGGATTGACGCTGAGAGGGAAAATGCTGCTGGGCCCCCTGTCGCTCTTCGCAAACGCGCCTGTGTATCTTCGAACACGTAGCAGCATCACGAGCCATGGCCCAGCTTAGTGCTGAGAAGTGTATCTAGGGAACGCGGCCGGTCTCACGAAGGTTCTTCATTTGGCATGGCGAACCTTTGCCTCGTATCTTCAGATGCTTGAGGTCCCAGCAGCAGATGTTGAACCACTTGAACCACACCGGATCGCTCCACGCACCCGTGTCGCAGCAGGCTGCCGAAACGACCCACTATCTGAAGATCTTGTTGATGTCTACTGCACCTGTGAATGTGCGAATCGGTCTTGTCATGCTGTTGCAGTGCATGTTTGGGTGTTTGCAGCCCCTCCCGTGCCTCCCGACAGGGCTTGCTGCTTGTAGCAGCTGCTTTCTGGTAATGTTGTGTTTGCTTTCAATGACTAAGCCCCATGCCCTGGTTCTCTGCCCGAACGCAGTTAATTTCCCAGAGCAAGGTGGAGCTCGTCAGGCAAATGCCAGGCCGGGATTTGATAGCGTGCTTGTTCATTGCAAGAACCGTCCGTCAGGAACTATGTTTCTCCAGACCTCTGCTATTTAGGCACTTCATGGCACTTCCAAGCATGGCGGCAGGCTCTCCAGTATATGCCACACGGCAGCTCCAACTGCCCCTGTGTGGGGCTCAGGTTGCGCCGGGTTTGAGAGATGCTGGGAAGTAGGTGAAAGGTTGGCACAAGCACGCAGAAAACTGGCGTCCGAGGGCTGGTTCCTTTGTTGCCCCGGGCTACACGGGCGGCTCGGGCTATTTGGCGCAAGCTGCAAGGCTCGGAGCTTACACAGACAGCCCAAGAGTCGAAGTTGCCACCTCGCTTCCCTCCATCAATATGGGCTCGGATGCTTGAGGCCGTGTCCGGATCTGCCAGCGCCAGCGAGGCGGCCATGGGCTCTCAGAGCAATTTCGGCGTTCCTTTTAGTGCCGCTGGAATCGAACCTTTCTGCAGTTGCCTACTTCGTTCGGACGGCAGCCAGGCCTACGCAGGAAGCCTCGCAGCGAGCCAGGTCACCTATCCAACACATTCGCTGGTGCGAATCTCAGTTCAGAGAGTGTTGCATTGCTTGTTCACCTTGTGGTGTGATGTGGTTGGTTGGTCGAGATGCGCGAGGCAGATGATGCGTAGAAGTATGTCTGAGCAGTTTCTCGCTTGGCTCATTCGGTCTGTGAGGCCACTGCAGGCTCCCCAAAGAGCCACATCGCCCCTGCGGCCTGCGCGGTGGCGGGCGACTAATGCAATGAGTGTTCAGCACAAACCCCCATGCGACTTTCCCTTCCCCCGTGCTCAGATAGTGCAGCCTGTCTTGTTTTCATACTTGCTCAGACCTGCAATCTCAGTCGCAAGTGGTTTTGTGGTTCATAGGGGGGAAAAGCATGTATTGCACAGGCCCTCGGGGGATTCTTGCGGTGCCTTGACTGCCAGGGTCCGTCATAGGACCTGGGACAGTATGCTGTAAGCGGAGCACTGGCTCCTGAAAACAGGCCCTGCTTCAAAAGACACACGGTCAGTACACGCCGTTGCTAGCCGACAGATGAGACGACAGTGTCTGCTGCCGCTGCAACGGCTGATGCAAACACCCCTCGCAAATACCGTGTTGCCCGAATATTCCCGAATTCCGTGGATGAGTGCGAATACCATGGCCCATTGTATGCGTATGCAACCTTTAGTTGTGCACTCGAGTTGGGCGTTAGGGAAGGAGTTTGGACGGTTCGTTAAGGTTAGGGTTTTGGCCTTCCAACCGAGCGAGAAAGATTAGCTCTTTCTTCTCTCCTATCAGCTATGCCAAACGATGGGAATCTTTGCTTGCCTTCGAGCCGGTTATGGTGTCTTCGATTTGTGCGCGCCACGCAAAGGCTCCACACAGCTGATCCGTCCTGGAGCTGCGATCCCGACTCAGGACGTCGGGGGGGAGCGCACAAGTTTGTTTCAGAGCAGGTGCTGATTGTGAGCCCACGGAAGAAGTTATAGAGCCAACAGCTACCGTCCATGTGTTTTCCAACGTGGGCGGGTGCTTAGGCGCACATTCACTTTTGTGAAGCCTCACAACCCATGTGGTTGCCCAGAGGCCACGCAGTAACCGGTGAACGTCCGGAAGAGACGCCGCTGGGCTCGCAAGAAACTGTGTTGTAGTTCTGGCGAAAGATTCGGGGACGGGGAAATGATTGCCTGGTGATGTCTTGTATGGCCTGTACCGTTACAATGTTTTTGTTGATAACTATTTCAAAAGCTAAGCCCTCTCTGCGCACACCAATGCTGGGCCCAGCTTCTTGCTTCACATCCACCGTTCCTCGCCTTCCCACCCATCCGCCCACCCCCAGAACTTCATACTTCTCATGTGTACAATGTTTCCAACCCTGGACAGCTGTTTTCCGGTCCACACCTGCCCCAGAGAGAGTGGGGCAAGTCCTTGAGTGGAGTGAATTGGAGGGACCAAGAAAGGCCCAAGCCATGTAGAATCCCCAGAAAGGGGGCCCTGCAACAAACAAAACGAGGGGAGTCCCGTTGGATAATGTGCCAAAAACTCATCCACGCGTCTGTCCTGTCTCAAAAGTAGTCACAAAGTGAGAAGAAGCAGCGAACGGCATGCATGACCCTGAAAATTGTTCGTTGTGTTGACACACTGCGAGGCGATATGTTGGTGTCTTGGCTGGCAAGGGGAAGTGACACAATTCCTGCAAGCCAATGCAATAGATGACTTTTGTACACCACTGAACTTGCAGGTGTGGCACGGCTGGCAGATCACGTGCGCAGATTTCCTCAGACAGTCCAGACCATTTCTGGAGGCCAGGGGGCATGCTTGGACAATCAGCACTACAACTTGCCTGAGATTTCCTGTGCAGGCACTGTGCGCAACGTCACCATGGAGCCCGTGGATGTTCCAAAGAAGTCGTCCACGAAGACCGGGTGGCAAACAGCTTGCAGCTTGTAATGTCCCCAGCAGCTTCAGCTGCAAGCCCATGCGAACGATTCGTGTCGCATGCGCTGCAGGTACGAGGAAAACTTAGTGTTTACCAGGTAAACAAGATGGGACATCGTAGGATCCACTCGAAGTATTGAAATCCAGTAGACGACAAGAAGGTTCAAAACCACTCAACTCCGGCGCATGGCCTTGCACAGTGCTTAAAACAAAGTAGTGCAAAGCCTCGTGACATGCGTATGGCCCATTCAAGGCCTCCCCTTGTCCGATTCAATAGCCTTCTTTGCCATGGGGGCCCGCTGCTGCGCCGCAGAAGCGCCGAATGCGGCCGACCCCGAGTCGGTCTGCAGGATGATGGTGTCGCCTTGCGAGCACTTGCTATCCCTTTGGAGCATTCCCTGTGTCTTGCGTTTCCCTTGCCTTGCAACTTGCAACCAAGAATTCAGGCTGCAAGTTGCTAGCGACATAAGGTACTGTTGAATCTGTCTGTTAGAGTGGTCACATGTTCAGAACCCTAGGCACCCATGCCTCTTCCCAATGTACGTGGTGAAGGCTGCGGGGACTGGGAACAGCACCGCTTTTTCCAATGAGCTGGATGTGGGTGTGTTTGCCGGGGGTGCTGATCATTCGGCAGCACGCGCGCGCTAGGTTTGGCAGGCATTGGGTGTACATGTGTCATTGACCATGGCCCACCGATGGCTTGAATTTAAGTAACTCCGTTGAGTGCAGTGCATAATGCTGGTAAGTCCAGCAACTGGAACACGCGTGCGTGCAAGTGTTAGTTGTCTGGAGGTGTCCGACTTCTTGGAAATGGAGGGCCCGCCAGAGGCCAACCTCGTTTTCTGCTTACGTGTAACTTCACTTTTTTTAAAGCTTCGCAGCTCAGGAGCTGCACTTTTCGTTTCTTGCGCGCGCCCTTGCTTCGCTGGAGGCGCATGATGCCCTCATGGACCAAGGGCTGCTGCACGAGTGGCATCCGGAGATGTTTGTAGTGTTCATCTCGCACCAGTGGCCTCCAAGCTCAACAAACCAGACTCGCATGGGGACGGTCTGCTGAAATTGATCCTTCCGAATCCTTCCCACAAACAAAAGGGCCATGAAGACCCAGCATGCCGCGTACTGAACTCCACCCACTGCCCTGTTTAGGCTTGGCACTGGGCATCCCGACCCCTCTGGCTTGCAGACAGCCGTGCTGCGCCGCGCCTTCAGAAGTGACCCAGTTGCAATGCGCCCAGAGTGGAGCCGTGTGAGCCCCAAACTAGTTGAAAGCCTGCACGGCAACGGCCGAAGGTGTCAGGAAAAAATAGGTGCAGTAGGGGTGCATGGCTAGCCCTTTCGAGTCCTCCCAAGAGGGCCATACGAGGGTTCGCTGGATGAAGGCCCCAGTTTTGCTTCCATTGTTGCAATACTTGCCACATTGTTTCAGAGTCTAGAGTCTAGAGGGCAGATGTTTCTCATGTTCAAGGTTGTCTGTATGAGCTTGATGCATTGATCTCGTTGTCAGTTGCTCCTGATGAGTGGTTGCGAGCTGTCGCTGGTAGGGCGTCATAGACTTGTTCGTGTGTCACAGCCCGTCTCAGGCAGTTGCATAGCACGGGTTAAGAACAAGGGTCTAGAGGAAGGTTGTCTGGTTTGCTCTTCATGCGAGAATAGTGAGGGACCGCCAATGTTTGTCCCAACGCACACAGGCTTCATCGACGGTTCGCTGAACGTGGAGCCCGACTTAATATCCATGGACGTGAATAATATGATGTGGACGACGCTGGTTGCACTTAGTCGCGACGGAACCTGTGCAAATCTGCGCAAGCAGTGTGCTCGCGGTTGCTTGCGTCTATTGCTTGCAGATGCATTCCTTGCGAGCTGCACAGGGCACCCGAGCCGCTAACCAATTGACCAATGAGCACTTCTGTAGGCAAGGGATGTGGACAATAGTTACTAGTGGCTAGTGGACATCCTAGCGAAGTTGAAGCCAAGAGGCTTCAGTATCGGTTTCAGATTCTTGCATTGCCAATGCCTATACACCTAGGAAGAAGTCCTGCGACGATATTGCAGATGGTTACATCTTCTTTGACTGGTTCGCCATCCCGCAGATCACTGCCCGAAAGCCAGGCCTGTTCAACGCACTGCCAAATTTGCCTTGTTTTAGCATCCGAGGGTTGGGGAGGGGAGGCTGCGATGGTGGATCCCGACTAGGCATTGAGAGCACGAGCACGGGCCCGCATGAGCATGTTCCAGAACGCAAACAACAGTTTACATCACTTCTCAGTGCAGCCATCCTCTACCAAATTAGTTGCGACAGGAGTAAATGAGGAGGGGACCAAGTCTGATGCGGCGCTGGCGGTTGGGGCCTTTGTCCAACAATTTGTGCTGTAGCTGCCTTTGTCAGTGTCGCATCCGCCGACTCGAAAGGGCGTGGTTCTGTTCCGAGCCATGTGACGGCTTGTGCTCTAGGTTCAAAGCATCCCGGCGTACGTGGAAGTTTCCGACCCTCGGAGTGGGTTTGGGATCTCATGCACCGAGCACTTGCAATTGAACTTGGTAAGGGGGAATTGGGAAGGAGTGGGTAGTGAGCGCAGGATGGCTGAGCAAGTGTGGCGCCTAAAGGCATTGCGTCAGCTGACAGTAAAAGGGTCGCCAGCGGCTGTGCTCTTACAGCTCGGATTGTGGAGTTCAGGGTGTAGCTTGGGGTGAGGTTGGGGCCATGCCGGCAGCCAGGATCTCTTCATTGCCCTGGTTCCGGAGCTGTTCCATACCGAGAGCGGCGCTCTGGAAAAACGCAGATTTCATTCTCGTCGGCCAAACATGCACATCCTCGGGTCGGGAGTTGGCAGATGTCAGGAAGACAAGGCGATGTAGTCGTATTCCAAGCCAAGGCAGACACTGCAACTACACTTCGTGGCTCTCTCGCGGATGGCGTGCAGCTTAGTTGTTCCTTTGCAGTCGCTGCCTGCAACGTTTTCTGAAGCTCATCATGCCACATGGTGGCGCACAAGCACAAGACAATAAGGGAAACACGATCGAGCGGAGATTTACGACCAGGGTAGCACTATGGCAATGCCAGCACAATTTGACTGACTCGGGTTTGGCGGCCACACGCTGAAAGCGCAACCAGGTGTGGACCGAGGTCCACTCTCACACAACAGGGACGTTTCTGTTTCTGTGGGTCCGGGACTGCTGCATGGTATGAACGCCCGCGATCTTGATGCCCAAATGCAAAGGCACGAGGTTATTTGTTGGAGTTCGTTGTCTGGGGATATTTGGGCAGTGTGTGTCTACGCCCCTCCGGTTTCGGACTAGTTTTCAGGTGCATGGCATGCTGTTATAAACCGGCAAAGCCACGATTTTCGGAGCTCGGGAGCCAACGCGAATTCGAGAACGACTACAGTGCTGTTTTGCCTGGGCACTTCGTCAAATCGGCGTGTGGGCCTTTGTTAAGTTTATTATCGTAGGAGCCTTGAGAATGTCTATGGGGTGGCTGGCAATGTCCGACTTCACCAAAAAGTGGTCAGAGCGTTCCTTGACAGGTGTTTACATGGGGGGGTCCTCTTGCGTGTTCCGGTTGTGGATGCGTCTTTTGTCAGTGTGAATGGCAAAGGCAGTCAGTGACCCCCCTTTCTTGTGAGATGTAGATCAGATGGCATGATTCGGTTTCAGACAAGCATGTTCAAGCAGACCAGGTGCCGAGCTGAACTCTGGTGCCGGCTTCTCTCCAGTAAGCTGCTGGGGCCAACGTTAGGTTCAGCATCATGAATCCATGAGACTGGAGGGCACCGTCAGAAGGTCCAGAGGTTCTTGCCGAATCGCGGGTTCAATATTCTATGCTGTTCGAATGAACAGCGTGGTGTAGCAGCACACAATGCTTTAAAGCATGCAGGGGCAAAGCTCACGCGAGGACAGACACTAGCGTCATCGTCGTGTTTTCGCCCCGGGAAGCTCAATTCATCTTCCCCCTGGATTGGCAGCTCGGATGGCACTGTCACGAGCGAAAAGAGCCTCCCAGCTTCGAGCATGTCCAAAGGCGAGCTTCGGGATGCTCTGAGGCTTCGCAATGCTTCGCAATGCTTCGCATGTTGCGCAGGATCCCTTAAAACAAAAAAAACCAGTACGGAGACGGCCGGGGTCCGAAGGCCTGAAATCCGGAAGAGGAGTAGGGAGTCTTAGGGAGTGCCCAAGTGCACATGGCCATGGCGTGGTCCATCGTCTCCAAGCTTTCGGACAATGTGTGTGTGTGTGTGCGCGCGTGCGCTTGGTTTGGCCCAGTTGAGCTTCAGCATGAGGCAGCAAAACCTGATCGCTGAAGGCGAATTTACCGTGGAGGCTTGGCGAAATTTTTCTTTTCCGCAGGAGGACCTTCGGATGAGTGCTGACGAATTGGATTGTTCCATCCGGGTGTCCTACGGTGAGCTGAGGACAGCGATCGTGAAGCTGTTGTCCAGTTGGGTGAGATGGCTGTGGAAAGCAGCTGAGACTGTCAGATGCAGTGCCTGAGAAGTGCTACAGTCCTGCGCCCACAGCCTACCAGTAGCAAATAAAAGGTATTCGCTAAGCATGTTACATGACTGGATGTACTACTTGGGTACAGACGAAAATACCAAATGAGCAGACTGCACGTGGAATACTGCACGCAATATCATGCAATACAGAATTCAGGCAGAGGGTCTTTCAGCCTGTGAGTTTGTTTTCCTGTGATCTGTTCAGAGCGAGCCGATCTGGATTACGCAGTGTAAATTCTAAAGCAGGGCAGAAACCCCAGTGGACTTCTTATGCTACTCAAAGTGTCGCATGTGCAATAGGCATGGTTCGTCCACTTGTTGAATGAAGGAGGTGCGAAGTTAAGCCCCGCGCGCCGTTCATGCTAAAGAGCCGTGGTGCTATCGTCACCGCCGTTGCCCCATATACTCGCGGAAGCCTCATGAGCAATTCTGGCTCCCGGATGCGTCCCGAGGCAAGATAGGGCATCTAGCCGACGAGGGCCCGCTTC